GTGTGTGTGTGCGCGCGCGCGTGATATCCGCGTGTAAATATTATTGCGCAGAGTGAAGCGCTCACAGCGTGAATCACGTCGGTGTGTCATACAGACGGAAAACACACCTATCGGACATCATAAAACATCGACGACACATTTCCGCGAGCGTGTCGCCGCGAGATGTAATCGATATTCGGACGAGTCCAAGCGAATGCGACGGAAGATTCCGGCGTGCCGTCGAGAAAACGACGTTCGGAAATCTCGTTCGGCCGCGACGTCCATAAAGAGTGATTTACACGATGCTGCTTTTACTCGCTTTGAGCAAGCTTCTTAAGTCGCCAGTGAGTTCGCTGGTGAAAACTTCTTCCAGACGCTCTCGATTTTTATTCGCTAGAGTCTGAAATTTGGAAGACGCAGCGTCTGTTAGTCGCTATGGCAACCGCTCGCGTCAAGCGACATTAAACTGTCTTTTTTCTATATACAAGCGGATGCACCTTTTTCAAAAGTTCCTCGCAAAATTTCTCGCACGTTAATCGCAATACTTTACGGTACGCGGTTGGATCCTCCAATGCCATTTCTTTGAAAAGATTATTTGATGCTCCATGAGTTAATCTTCTCCCTATCCACTTACGTACTCACATTCTCTCTCTTTTTTTTTTTTTTTGAATTTTGTTACTGAGCCACGAATTTCTGCTTGAAGAAACTCGCTCTAGGAAAGCGAGAAGCTGGCGACAAAAGAAGCCAGCGTCAAGCTTCAAAAGTAGCATCGTGTAAATCACCCTTAAGACGCGCACACACGTATCGGCAAATAGTCGCTACTATTATATTCGCGACGGCGCGAGCGAGCAGTCGCGTCGCGTCGGTCAGCCGAGCGAAAAATCTTCTCTTCTTATCGCACGCTCCGTGTAGCCTCTTAGCGGCTATTTTTACACGACGGCTCTTTGCGCGACTATCCCTCGCGAGACATTGAACCGCGAGCGACTGTTCTTATCGGCTGCTCTCGGAACGCGCCAACTATATCGACAACAAACACCTTAGCGGAGCTATCGTCCGGTATCCGCGGACCGGTCGCCGCACCGCGCCGGTGCGTGATACGAGAGAAGTTAGCGGGCCGGCGAATACATACGGCCATCAATTACCGCGATGTACTAGTACGTAAAGTGGCTGCCGGTCGGCCGGTATTTGTCCCGCTCAGATAAATCGTGTCTCGCACGGCCGCGACTAACGTCGTTAGGTCCGCTCGTTTGGCCGCTCGCGAGAGAGTGCGAAAGAGAGAGCGCACCTCTTTATCGCGCGTCCGATAACTCCCCCCCATCAAACTACGCTATCGTTCGCAGACGAAAACTCGTGTCGCAGACTCGCGCGTTTATCTAGTCGCACGGGTCGCTCGCATGGCGGATAATGAGAACGGTACGAGGCGATGTTTTCTCTCTCTCTCTCTCTCTCTCTCTCCCGCTCGCCGGCGCGGCGGGGCGGGGCAGAGGAGGGGGCGGGTGAAAAGAAGTCGCGGGACGTGTACGGTCATTTTTATTCTCGCGGAAGTCGCGCGACCGGCGAAATTACCGCTCATCCACGCGAGCGTACATTCGCGACACGCGCGTTTGTCTTCCTCCTCCGTTCTTTGTGCCGCGCGTGTGTTATCTTGGCCGATAACTATCTCTCCGTGCGTCGGCGACGAGTCCGCCGTTCGGCCGGCCGCCGAGGAAAAAAAGAGAGAAAGAGAGTAACACGTGTCTCGTGAAAGGAGCCCGGTGCGTGCGTGCGTGCGTGCGTGTACGCGCAGTTACGTATGGTCGTTACTCGATGTAACTTTTAAGAGGCCGTGTTCGTGCTCTCGCCCTACTCGTTGCTCTTCGTCGGGCAGGATCGTTACTTATTTTACGAACGGGGCCTCGTTCGCCAGCGAGCGACGCTGGGCTCAAATTCGCCGCGCGGCGCGCACTCGTGGACCCGAGGCCGCTTTTTCTCCGCGGCTTACACTTTTTCAGATCGGCGAGCATCGATCATCGCGCGATCTCGTGCCTCGTAAGAGCGACGACGACGCTCCGCGACGAAGCAACGAGAGCTTAACATTGAGCTGTTGCGTTAGTCGCACGCGCGCAGCGGGGGAAACCGCGAGATGCCATGTAATAATCCTCGTTTTTATCCAGCCGCGGTTGCCTTACGCAATCGCCCGTACTCACAATATCCAATTATATCGCAAGTATATCCAGTTACGTAACGCATCTGCAGTATAGCTGTACGAAATGGCGCGCGTCTGGCTATCGCGTCGTTTATCTCGGCGTGACGTCGGCATAGACTTGGCACGAATCGATTCCCGAAAGAGTTTCCAAGTCGAAGGAAAGCGTCCGTTAACCACGCGCGCGATGCCTTTCGCCTCTGCCTCGCGGGGGAGGAAGACCGCGATTACATAATTACGTTGTAGCTTACAGCTCGCGTGACTTTGCGCTCGCGCGTCGTCGCAGGCCGGCTGACTCTGATCGCGCTGCACGTGAAACGGTTCCCTCATCACGTCGGGAATACCGTGCCGGAGGGGGCGACCTCGAAACGGGTTCCTCGCGTGATTAGAATTCGGACGCAGATTTTACTTTCCGTCCTCCTCCTCCTCCTCCTCCTCCTCCTCCTCCTCCTTCGGTCGGTCGCCTCATTGCGGTGAGAACTCTTTTTTTTTCCTTTTTCTTTTTCTTTTTTTTTTTTTTTTTTGGAAGGAGCAGGGAACCCCGCGAGAGAGCAGCGCGCGACCCAAAGGAATGAGAGTCCGCGTTGTCAGCCGGAATAATTCGCGCGACAGCGCCGCCGCGATGCTCGCAGGCCGAGAGGATGAAAGCGCGGCGAATCTCGCAACATTGGAGAAAAAAGACGCGATGCGATGATTATTAACGGGAGATTGCTCCATCGCATTCGGCGTTCTTCTCCCCCGCCGGGACAACGACGACGAATCTCTCGAAGGCACCGGTCGGGAATAATAATTTCGACGTTTCGACTCGCGAGCAGAGTCCGGCGGAGTCGGTCGCGTCGCGTGCGCGATGCGACACACGTTGTCATAAATACGGACGGACTTGAACCCGGCACAATGCATGTAACGAGGATATTGTGACACAGCGACGGCGGCTGATCTCACTGTCAGCTCATGATCCGATTAAGGAAAAAAGAAAAAAAGAAAAGATGGACGCGCTCGCTCTGGATCAAGTCGGCCAAGAAGGACCCTCGGCCGTGCGTCGGCTCGATAAATGATAAATGTCGGGACGAGAGACGCGGCAATGTCAGTGTTGCTTGCGAACGTTAGTCTCGCTTCGGTGATCTCCATCTTCCGCGGCAAGAACGCTCGCTCGCGTCCGCGTGGATCATGTCTCGCGTGGCCGTAACTTCCACTTACACAACGGCAAGCAGGAAAACGGATCCGTTCGAAAGATCGCTCTTTATATTACGGCATCGCGCGAGAGACGCGATCTCACGTTGTGCGCGTATTGTTGCGCCTCGCGCAGAGAATCGCTCGCCGGCCTGATTGTGAACCGGTTCGCGTTGAAGTCGCGCGGCACGAATAGTGGACGAATATAAATATCCCGCGCATCTCCCTTCAACGTCTTCAAGTCGCGCGCGCTGTTAATGAGCGGGGGCGCGCTGTCGGCGGTGATGATACTCGCTCGTGCAACGGCTGCTGCTGCTGCTGCCGTTGTCGTCGTCGTCGTCGTCGTCTCGAGCTATCCCGGGAATCCTTGCGAGTGCATTCTTACGAGAGACAAGGAATCTCGTGAGAAAGCAGCGGAACCGCCAAGGCGCGCCGAGGAATTAAAATTCATGCAATCCACGCTGATGACCGTATCCGCTCGCGATTAAACCCTGTTCCTTTATCACCGGGACGTGAGTTTCACGCGTGGCGCACGTAACGACCGTGATTCCAGTCGACGACGAGTCAGCCACCCACGCACCTTGGTTAACCGCACGGTTAATCGCGAGACTGAGTCGTTGTGAACCGCACGAGCGAGATGACATCTCTCGTCGTGACGATCTTGACGATCGTCTGTGCGCGATGATTGACGTACTTTGGATCGTAAGATATACTATATGTAACAGGCAGCCTTTGTGCGCTCATCGTCAACTGACTGATTGGACACACATGACACAGCGAAAGTGTGTGTGTTGATGCGCGTAGTTGCGAAATGATCGCCGGACTTATCGACTGTGTTGCAACGTTCGTCATGTTCGTCCCGTGATTACGTGATTACGGCAGATGCGCTCGAAATATATCGGAGCTTTGTTTAATATTCTCCTCACGATCTCTCTCACGATGTGACATTCCATTCGTACGCGTGCTCGACTCGCTGTTACTCCGGAATTATGCTCGGGAGAATGACTTTCCCAGTTTCTCGACGTGCGCACACGACGGCGGACGGCGGGCGTGTCCAACGTTTGAGAAAAAGATTTCGGTGTACGTGATAGCATTCATAGTTTCCACGTATGTCGTATGTGCGTCGGAGATGTTGCCGCTTTAAATACGACTGTGGGCATGAGGATCGGTCGTAAAACGTGAGGACCGTTCCGTCGTCGTCTTACGACACATCTCGACGTATTTCGAATTACGACGAAATCAAAGTCAGGTAGTCGCGCATGAGGACATGGGCTAACATGTTAATAAATTTTCCTGAACGACGAACTTGTTGGGATTCGGCTCACTCACGTGTTCACCGAAGAGGAAGGCGGGTTTTTTCGACGAACGTGCGACTGCGTCTCGATATATCGTCCTTACATTTCTCTCTCTCTCTCTCGCTCTCTCGCTCTCTCTTTCTAGCAAAATAAAAATATTCGTCGAAAAATATAAGCTAGAAAAACATAGAGAAAAAGTCACTGAAGATATGATTTTTAAGTAGTGGGATTATATTAAACGGACATCTTGGCCTTCATGGTAATTTTTATCGATATCGGATTTTAGTAAATAGAAGAGAATTGTTTTCGAATTGTGAGTTTTTTTTCTTTCTTGTATCACGCATATATCCATGAGACTGAACTTTTGGTTTCAGGAGCCAATCCAAGGCCTCCTACTTGGCTTACAGACGCGAGCGCGGTGCTCCCGACAGCGAAGGTAGCTACAAGAGAACAATGTCGCCGACCTCTCGGCTGGACGACTGGCCGCCTCCTAGGGACCACGACGACCCCGTGCTTCTGCGCGTCACGCCGCATCACCCGTTGCAACAGCAGCAGCAGCAGCAGCAGCAGCAGCAGCAGCAGCAGCAGCAACAGCATCATCATCACCACCACCACCACAACAATCATCACCAGCAGCAGCACTCTGACCTCTCGAAATCGCACAGTGCGGATGCTCTTCATCATCGATTGGACGAGAGATCGCCGCCGCAGCAAGCGCAGCATTCGACGGAGGTGGTGAATAAGCTGTCGCAACACAAGCTGAGCAAGAAGCTCCAGGCCGGCGACGCGAGGTGCCGCGCCAACAGCGAGAACAACAACAACGACAACCTCGAAGACCGGCATCAGCACCACCACCAGCATCATCATTACCAAGAGAAGAGGTATCCGGAGAAGAGACACGAGTACGAGCAGCGCAGGGAGCGGCTGTCGCCGCAGAGCGTGGAGGTCCTTAACGACAGGAACAGGCAGCTGGAGCGAGAGCGTCGGAAGTTGGCAGCTAGCTGCGAGCCCCTACCTCAAAATAGAGAGGTGAGATTATCTCCGCGGATATTTACCTTCGCGTAATAGCGACGAATTTGCGTGTTTTTCGCGCCTCCGCCACTCTCCACCTATTTTTGCGCTCACAAATATAGCAATGTCAAGGCGTCACGCGTGTGCGGCTTCGTGTCGGCTCCGTTCACGCTGTGCTTCAACACTCTCTCAGCTCCTCGCCGAGCCTTGCTTCTGTGTGCGCGTGACCCGCGCACTCTCTTCGTTCCCTTCGTTCTTCGTTTCTCGGCGATTCTCTCTGCCGTAGTCACCATCATCCGCCGTTCTCGGTTCGTGCGTATCGCGTTCTTTGGTCGAGTTGATACTTGATGTCAACTGCTGAATTTCGTGCACTGAGCTCGGAGACTCTACCCACCGGTCGTCACATCCGCTCGCTGAATTACGAAAGCGAAACTACGGTTGCTTGCAGAAGCAGCTGCGAGAGATCGGCGGCCCGCTGCCAATCGCCGGCGACGATTTCTTCCGCGAGAGGAGCGCCACGATCGAGATGACCTCGCAGAACATCGAGCTGCTGAACCGTCGGAACGAGAAGAGGATGAGCAACGCGACGACGACGAGTGGAACGATATCCACGTACTCGTCGACGAGCAGCACGACGATGATGACGAGTTACGACAACGGCTGGCCGCGAACCGGACACGAGTCGCACAGCTCGATAGAAGCTGCGATCTTCGCCGACAGGCCGCCACCTCCGACGAGTTCACCGCCGCGCTCACCGGACAACGTCGAGAGCGTGAGCCCACGAGGAGCTATTCCGCGACGGTCGGGAAGTTGCTCGAGCTCCTCTTCTTCCGGGAGATCGATCGACGCTCGCATATCGCCGCGTAGCTTGCTGTCCAGGTCGTCGCCGAGGAACTCCCTGGAGAACTGCCTCGCGAGGAACGAGGCGCGCATCGAGTGCGGCGTCCCCAACAGCCGGAAAGTCTCCAGCCCGACTCAAACGGATGACACGGGTTCCTGGAACCTGAGATCGAGCTCGCCGAGTCACGGGATCACGGCGACAACGACGACGACGACGACGACGAGTGAGACTAGCTGCGAGGCGGAAGTACGAGCGGAGAGACCCTCACCATCGTCCAAGTTCCGCTCCGCCGGCGGCCGATCGCCCGCCTCCTCCATCTCGAGCGTCTCCAAGACCTCCTCCTCGTCCTCGCCGCGGAACTCGCCGGTGGACGAGGACAAGCTGTCCTCGCCGACGTCGTCGCTGTGCGTGTCGCCTCAGCCGGGCATCGAGGGCCTGACGCTGGTGCAACGCACCGAGGTCGTGCTGCGGGTGAACGCGGCCACCAGCGACGCCGCCTCGCAGACCGACACCTTGGACGAGACGGAGCTCGACTGCGCCGCCGCCGGCAAAGCGTCGCGGCCGTTTCCGGAGTCGAGGAAGAAATTACCGGAGGAGATCGAGTGCGAGGAGCTCAGCAGAGACCTGGCCAGCCAGCTCAGCCCCAACGACAAGCTGCTGCCTATACTCGGTGAGCGAGAGCGAGCCGCGATCTCTATCGCGTCGCATCTCAATTGCATGAATAATGGCCCGGGCGGTATCATTCGTACGACGACGACGCGGACGCTTTCGCCATCCGTCCCGCGCTCGTCGCGCATCGTCGTCATTAATACACGTCAATGCACTTTTGATACACAATTAGATAAGTTATTGAATTTTTGTAGTCGCGTTCGTTTGCGCGCAACTCGCGCTGACATATTTACGATCCATCTAGTCGCCGTCATACTCGCGCGCTCGCATTACGCGCGCGCGTGTTGCGCGTGCGTGTGAGACGCACGCGCGCGCGCGCGCGCGCAATTATCATCCGGGACACGGAGTCGTCGCGCGTTCGGGAGCGATGACCCTCCATTTTAATAAGCGCTAATTTAATCAACGACACGGCTGCGTTATTCAATTATACGCTCTCGCTGCCGCGATATTCGATGCAATCCCTTGTCGCATTATGGGGCTTCCATGGGCCGCGGAGGTCCCTGAAGCGTGAAACGAAGCGACGCGCGCGTGCGCTCGTTGATAGAAAGAGAGATAGATAGAGAGAGAGAGAGAGAGAGAGAGAGGAGAGAGAGGGAGAGAGAGAGAGAGAGAGAGCGCGCTTGATGATGTTGTCTTATTTATTTTTTGTTTGTCCGTTTCTTATCAGTTCCAGCGCCGGAGCACAAGAAACCCACCGACTACGTTTCCGGCCTGTTCAGGGTGGAGGCGACATTGCAGCCGCGACCGAGGCGGCGGCTCTCCTTGGAAGAGTCAACGGCCTCCTGCGGCGAGGACGCGGACGCGGACGAGAAGAAGTAGGTTTTTCGAATTGCAGCGCGCTTCATTAAAGCGTATTTATGAGCCGGCCAGCGCTCGGCTCCGATATCAAGCGCGCACGCGTTGTCTTCGTCCGGCTGCGTAAAGAGCCAGAGCGAGATTGTTGTTACCGCGCCGAGGCAGATAAGCCGCAGAGCCCCGTAAATATACGGACTAAACGCGATAATTGATAGTTTTCACGTGCACGCGAGCGCGCCGGCGGATTATGCGCTATTAATCAAGCGGCGCGTCTCGAAATCCTCGAGGGCGGCCATTACGAGCGCGCAAGTCCGCGAGACTCTTCGGCCGGCTTAATTGGTCCGCGTGTATCCAGAAGACACCGTGTAATTTTAACGAACCGGAGAACACCTTTTTCCGCGAGTCTCGACTGTTACTTAAATCTCTTCGATCCCACGCGCTCTGCGTGTGCGGTCGCCGCTGCGTGCGCTGCCGCGCGTGTGAAATCACCGGTCTCGGTGATATCTCTCCGCTTCTCGCTTCACAGTCTTTTCCTGCTGGCAGGCCGCCGAATATGTACAGGAGGGGCTGAGGAAGAAAAGATATCTCGTTGCAGACGAGACGCCACGCGCCAGCGTTGCTTCGTTCGCGCGAACATGGACGGCGAATTTCTTGGCGGACGTGCCGCCTCCATTACGGTGATTTAATTGTGTCCCTTTAGCGACTCGACAGACGTCGGCGAGACGTGTCGCGCGCGAGCAAACAGGCGCTGAGATTCCGCCGAGAGATTGACGTTTCTACTTGACAACTCGCGCCTGCTGTTCCTTCTTCTCTCGTTTGCAACACTCTGTTCGTCTGTTGGACTTTCGGATCTGTCCCGCGCGCAAAACCCGCTCTCGCACGAAGGCTCGAGCGAGTCTTCGTTCGGTATTCATGTTTCGCGCGGCTATCGCGTGACACCGTCGATTGAATATCGCTGGACACCGTTTCGTCCGTCGCACATATTCGCGCGTCACACGTCGGCGCTCCGTGCATTCTACGCGCGAGCGCCGAGCGCGCTCACGACTCTTCCCTTTTCCGTCGATTCCGTCTGTCTCGCGCGCTCCTCGGCGACAATACTTCCCCCGGCGTGCTCAAGGAGAAAGTACCAAAGCACCGAGAGAACGTTGCGTAATCCGCTATAAATGATATTGTCAAGACCAACTACTCAGTTGCTCGTTCTCTACGCATCATATTATTTGCCAGTCTCCGACGTGTGGCTGAGAGTGACGCATCATCGTACGTCGCCAGGGGAGTGCGCGCCGTGCTCGCGACAGCGAGTCGACGGTGGAAATGGAAACGGCGCCTCCGGAAAAGTAGATACGATCTCCCGCTTTTCTTTTTTATTTCGCGCGCGGTCGCGGTCGCGAGCAAAACGGCGCCATTGGGGGGAATAGCGCGCGGCGCGTGTGCCACATAACGCGCGGCTCGCGGTCGTGAAATTAAAATTTCACGTGTCGGCGCGGAGTGTGTGTGTGTATGTGTGTGTGCGTGTGCCCAATAACGCGCGGTTAAATGGCCGTCGGCCGAGCGGAGCGATCGCTCGGCAAAATCGATCACGGCCGGACCGACGTATTGTGTCAAATTGGTTTTGCTCGGGCGCCGCGCGCGGACTTTCTACCGTGTATTTCGCGGCGGCCGGGAGGAAGATGATCGCGCTTTCGAGAGCGATTTTCAGCAACGATGCAATGAGCAACCAACGGATACGAGCAACGGATGCAAGCGCGAGCGTGGCGATAAAAAGAGTCATTGAGTCGCCGAAGAAACGAGCGTTCGAGTCAACTTCCGCTTCTTCCAAGCTCGCTTCTTAACTGACCTCGGGGACATGACTCTTGCCGAGTCGCGCGATGGAATAGTTTTGAAAAATAAGCCGCGCTCCGAATCGTCAGCAGTACAGTTCGCTTTCTCCTCTTCAACGGACGAGAGAGAGAAGGAGAGCTTAGACACGTGTTATCATCAGCGCGAATGGCAATCGTCGCGCGTCGAGTTTAGGCGGAACAAACTTCCCGTTGACGGTCGCGTCCTTATCCGCGAACCCGCCGATTTACCGGGTATCGGCTTCGTCACTCAGCCGCGAGTTCCACACCGGAGAGCATTCCCCTCCGCATCCGCTCGCGAATCATTGCTCGCGCCTCTCTCCTTCTCTCTCTCTCTCTCTCTCTCTCTCTCTCTCTCTTTCTCTCTCTCTCTCTCTCCGTAAGATTGTCGAGATTAATTCAATCGTGACTCACACGCTCATTGACGCAATTCTTGCCTTCTTGCAACGGCGATGATTATAGACAGATTTTTGCATAGATGCTGCGAAACACAGAGAGCGAGCGAGAGCGACAGAGAGAAAGAAGGAGGGAACGAAGCGAGGATGGGTGGGAGGAAAGAGGCAGAGAGACGCTTAGCCCGCATTAGCCGGCCAGAGGTGTGTAATCATCGCGATGAATTTCTTTCAGGCACGAAACGATACCTTCGGCTCCCGTCACGCCACTGTCGGCTGATCCTACCAGCCCCCTGTCCCCCACTTCGGCTTACTTCACGACGTCCGAGGGAAAGGCCAGGTTCCTGACGAGATACTCGCGGGACGTCACGGTAGAGGGATTAACACGTCAGGAGGATGCGCCGGCGATTGTACCGACCAACAGCCTTGACCTTAGGCAAAAAAAGGTACGACCGGTAGCCGAGCGCGCGTAGGGCTATAATTAGACGCGATGCAGGGCCTTTTGTAATTAACGCCGCCGCGCGATTAAATTCGATCGCTCGACACTCCGCGGGCCACGGGCCGATCGATCGAGTAATAACGATCGCTCGCGGATAAAACGATAATAAGTATCATTCCGTTCGGCTTCTCTCTCTCTTTCTCTCTCTCTTTCCTCCCTTCCGCGATACCGATCGAGTCTTATGTAAAAGTGTAATTACCGCGCTTTGGAATTCCGTGTTATCGCGTATCGCTCAGTGCCAGCACGGACTGTTACCCAATCAGTTTCTCACGTGGTGAGTCGTTAGCTCAACGATCGAGTACTCTTTGCGCGTTTTTCCTAGCGTTTTTCCGACAAAGAGAGAGAGAGAGAGAGAGAGAGAGAGAGAGAGAGAGAGAGAGAGAGAGAGAGAGAGAAAGAGAGAGAATGAGCGAAGGAGAGGGAGAGGGGAGAGAACGGCCTCCACGCGAGGACGTTGCATGTACCGAAACGATCTTTCAGGAGGAACTGATGATGCGGCTCGACAGGAAACTGGTGGTCCTCAGGGCCGAGCAGGAGGCTGTAAGGGAGGAGGGTGAGGTAAATGAGGCCCTGGGCGCGCGAGTCTCCGCGCGCGTTTCCGCCGTGGCTCGTCCGCCGGAAGCGTCCAAGTACCGGCTTCACGTGGAGGAAGTCGGCAAGATTACGAGCCTTCTTCTCGGTCTCAGCGGCAGATTGGCTCGCGCTGAGAACGCCCTTTATGGAATGCCGGCCGACCACGCGGAGAGAGTAAGTATTGTAGCCTCTCGGGTCTCCTTGTTTGCCCGGCTCGATTATTCTTTCGTCGCTGAGCGTGCGTCTCGATGCACTGCGAGAGACGCGTGTGTGAATGTTTTGAATTGTCTCCTCTCTTTTCGCAAGCTGCAACTGTCGAGTGTTGCTGTGTGTGATGTGAATGTGAGTGATATTTAATGCTCGATAATCTCATCGTGTAACATTCGTATCGAAGCACATCGACGCTTTGCGTCAGTCACAGACTTGAGAAATTTGCGTGTATCCTAATTTCTTGTACGATAATTCGATAAGCATTGGCTCTTTGGACTCGTGCCATTTGATATAAATTTAACGAACACCGGGATTTATACCCCTTCCGTGTCTGCTTGGTTTGCAGAAAATCTTGGAGAGCAAACGGGACAAGCTAATGGATCAGTTGGAAGAGGCAAAAATTTTAAAGAGTAACATTGACAAGCGCAGCGTTAATGTATCGGCGATCCTAGCGAAGTACCTGAATCAGGAGGAGTTTGCCGATTACCAGCACTTTATCAACATGAAGGCGAAGCTGATAATGGACGGTCGCGAGATACAGGACAAGGTGAAACTGGGCGAGGAGCAATTAGCCGCGTTGAAAGAGGCAATCGACTAGTCGTAATGATGGACTTACACGCTAAGTTATTATGAAATCAGTTTCTGCATTTCCAAGCGTGAACAATGGAAAAAGCCTCGTATAACGAGTCCGAGCCGACTCGAAAGCATAGGTTAAGCATAGGAACGAAAAATTACGGGGACACACGGAAATACACATTGTTCAAGCCTGGTCCAGTATTGAGAAAAACGTCGGATTTCCGAGCGGACGTGCAGCTGCAAATGGCAAATAATGCATTACAACCAAGTATTACGAGTATATGCTTATGTCCTTTTTACATGTAACTGTTGGGCTCTCGATCGTGTCTTTGAAAGGTTTTGGTATTTATACCACACGGAAATTGTATGTGTTCGATTGGTTGAACATTTTTAGAATATATTTTGTTAAAATTTATTTACAACATACCTCCTCTCTCGGGTGAGAATTTTATTTAAAGTGTATAAATGTGCATGTTGGAAAAAAGTTAAAAATTATTGCTTGAAGCGACAGGTAACGTTATAGCAAAAAAAAAAGAGATATATTACCCGAACGTTGAGTAATCTAGTGCACGCGGAGGGTGAGGAAATTTTGTTCGCGAGTAGAATAAAATCAAGTCGAATCAGTTTCAATCCGACATCCTCCCGAGGCAAGTGTGATCCTGAAGCCTTAATGCCTAGTCTTTGTTAAGCATGCATCGATTATGACGTGCTTCCTCGGTGTTTCATGAAGGGCGCATGATGACATATCGCCGATATATTGTCGTGTGGCGCGACGAATGAGAATGTCACGAGGTATCTGCGATACCAGCCAAGACCAGGAATGTATGTCTGTTACGCATTGTGTTTTGGAGAAAAGAGTCGAAATTATTAACACGTTTTGCCGTAGCACAGAGATGCATCTGTAAATACAAATTAGCAGGTACGATACATGTAGTCGTTAAAAAGTCTCAACAGCAGCGAAACGTGCGCGTAACCAAAAGACGACGAGGACGATGAATCGATATTCAGCTTTCATTGACGTAACGTAAGGAGTATAATGTGTACACACGGGACTCTCGTGCGTACATATATCTGTATTATTCTTCGTGTGCCGATCGATGTTGATTATTATCGAGTAAAACGATGTTCGACAATTAGAACTTGTCGGACGATAATGAAAGAGATATACCGACAAAAAAGTCCAAATTTTAATATATATATATATATATATATATATATATACATTAGAAAGAGAGGGAAACACGCGTATCTATCTCGAATTTATATTCTTGTGTGCGCGATTAGTATCCCGATAAACGTGCCGAAGAACCCCGCGCGGTGTAACTTTGATGCAACTTTGATCGCACGCGATAAAGAGCGTTCAGAGACGCGCGACTGACGAACAATCGCGAGTTGCGAATTCGAAGGAGAGCCCTGCGCGAAGTAAACGCCGCTCGGAGGGCTCGAAGATGCAAACTGCACTACTGGTCCGCATAATAATTTGTTGCTCGCGGCGCACGAAAATCACCGGATTCTCGATCTAGAATTACTACGTGGTGCCTTCTTACATGCGACATGTGATATGAGAGTAAGGGGAGTTCACGTTCTCTCTGCGCGCGGCGCGGCGCCTAAATAACCGAGCGTTGCCGGCCACCGTGGCAACGCGTTACATGTGTATATAATAATAAGTAGGTTAAGCGCATACACACTCACTCACACTTTCACTCCTTGACACGTGAGACACTGATACATGCGTACTCACATAAATACTTGTAACATGCGTACACAGACACACACACACACACACACACGTACGCGTACGCGCACACATGTACAACGAAGTACTATTTTTACGTATTGTTCTAACCCCCGGGGGTCCTCGTGGGCCCTTATGACGCTTGTGATGTTATTTACTCTGTACGACCCCACCAAGGACTCTCGAAAGTACCGCGCGGGATATCGCGCGCGTCGTATTCGAGCCTCCATGGTGGCCTCCAGCGAGAAATTTTATGCCACGGTGACTTTCGACAAATTCTCATATCTCGTCTCAATGCTGTGCCGTCCCCGTAACTACGTCCCCGTTTGTAACCCCGCGCGTCTTTCCTCCTCTCTGTTATCGACCGCCACCTCCCCGCTCGTCGCTACATTCTACCGAGGGCGGAGAAGAGAGACTAACAAGCGCGAAATCACACGGAGGGAGAGAGAGGTGATCCTCCGAATCTTTGGGTTCGGTAATGAGACACTTACCGTAGCATCCAAGGATCTCGAGACGGAATTCATCCCTACCGCGCCTCCACGTGAGAGGATCACGACTCGAATAACACATTCGGTTTTGCTCATCGGTCTCGCGCGCGTTGTAAAAGAAACATCGACGAATCCTTCGCACGATAAACGCGCTCTGATCTCAGACTCGGTGTAACTCGGGTCGCGGATAACGAAAGGAATGAGAGAAGAAGAGAGAGAGAGAGACAGCGTGTTACAAGCCGGGACCGGACTGCCATGATGAAAAAGGTTCGCGCATGAGAAAGACTGAGTACAGGGCATAAAATTTTGCGGCATAATAGTCAGTTTCTGTTCCTCGTTTGTTTCTCGATGTCCGCGAATCGGCTGCGGCGGATAGTGTAATAATCTTGCCGTTCAACCGAAAGAAGCAGCAGCAGCAGCAGCAACAACAGCAGCCACTCCGTTGTAATGCGTTTGCGAGCAGCGCTGTATCGCGCGGCGGCGGCGGCGGCGGCGGCGGCGGCGGCGGCGGCGGCGACGCCAGTGTCGAATACGATGCGAAATCGTCATCCTTCGCCGCCCGCTCGCCGTGGGTAAGACGCGGCTGTTGTACATAACAAATTAATCGAAACATGGTGCTCTGGATATCTATTTTTTACGAGAAGAAACGTTCCATTAATTTGTAAGCTATCATTACACCTAAGGACTTAATATAAAGGAATTAATATTTAACATTCTCGCTGTGTACATATATACCACGTATATAAGTTTCACGTGATGCGACGGCAACATAATAATTACACATACAATTCGCGCGTCACCTATAAAAGCGACGACGCTAGGTCGTTGTTAGTCTGATAATGTTATCCCCTGCAAATGTATTACAAGATCATTTTTCAAACTCGCTTGCAATAAATAATAACACGTTGGAATTTCAACGAGACGTGTGTCTTTCTGCGACGAGAAACCCGTTTCGTACCACCGATGAGAGTGCCGTCACGATGAGCACTTGATCGCCGATGTTCACTCGACATTTTCGCGAGTCTCTTTCACCAACGACTTGCCTCTCACTCGATCGTTTTAGTTTCTCTTCTCACTTTTCTCCACAACGTCTACGTCCACGTGTGCCCGAGCGTTTCGTTTAAGCAAGAAGGTAGAATACTTGTGTAAGAAACTTTTATATCTTGTAAAATTTCCAGATATTCTTTACTTCGAAAAAGGATTCGACTTACATTTTCTCTCATCACGCGTGAAGATTTAGATCTCAATTTAGCGAATCCATTTATAAACTTGGTGAAGATATTTGTCAACCATGTTGACAATGAGTTTAAAGAATCGAAAATATAATGTTGTACTATCGACTAATGGTATTTTGAGATACGACCTTTATGGTTCATAACGCACGATTAATCTACTTCCTCGATGGTCGGACCGCTGTTACCAGCAGTAGTTTGCCCGTCGCATCTCGAGGACCTCGGTACAGCACCGGCGGATTCATACAACTTCGTTATGATAGGCTTGCACACCTGAAAGTTATTACTTCCGCGATGACACAATACGCGTGCATGAATCGATTTTCGCGGTGTGTCGTCATCGGTTATCGGTGAGCGACCAAGATAGAAACCAAGATAGAAGGGGATACTTCTTAGTATAACGGTAGATAACGCATCATCGAACGAAAAATAGCACACCGGCGCGCAAAAGACTACAGGTGTAAGACTAGGAAAAAGACGTTTCCGTTGTGTTAAAGAAAACAAGAAAGAAAGAAATGTTCTATCGATCTATTCGGGAGAGAGATCCATTGGCATTGGCCACTCCGATGAAATCACACACACAACGCCATAAGCGCGTGTGTTGTCGAGAGAAGAATTACTCATGACGATTCGTCGTACAATTACGACACTCGCGATGATTAATATCGCAGCGACAATTAATATTCCACCACATTGATTTCTCGACACCACGAGAGCCACAAATGAACTCATCATCCACTCTTGGACACTACCGCCGGGTATCACAAAACACAATTCTAAATTTCCCCCGAATACATAACCGTCTCGGTAAACTCAATATTCTCTGTCTCTCTATCACGACCAAATGATTCCGCCGATACGAAGCGCCAAATGAAGCGCCGATAGAGAGCGTGAGTGCGACGCGTGGAAAATCGTATCGACGCTGCCCACCAGGCCCATTCCCATTCGGAGAACGTACCGTTCCGTCTGCTTGTTTTCGAAGAGAGCTTCCGGACTGGTGCAATAAGTTTGAGCGAAGAAAAGTATACCTGTCCCCCCCGGAGAAACGAACAGACCTATTTGCCGAAAGATGCGCGCGAATATAAGAGGAAAATACGCGCGAACTTCAGCGTACCTCCTCGGCTTCCTTCAGCTTCGCCCGGTACTCCTCCGCCGTCGCGAACGCATCGGTGTCCATCCACTTGATAATCTCGTTGCACTTCTCGCTGACGCGTTTTCGATCAGCCTCCGGTGTCTTCTCCTTGACCTTCGCCTCCTCGAGCGCGCTCTTCGCGCTGAAGCAATATGACTCGAGGTCGTTCTTAGCCGCGACCCTCTCCCTTTGTTTCTCGTCCTCCGCGTGATATCTTTCCGCTTCGTTCACCATCCGCTCGATGTCTTCCCTGCTGAGGCGTCCCTTGTCATTGGTGATCGTTATTTTGTTCTCCTTGTTCGTCGACCTCTCCACCGCGGAGACGTTCAGGATGCCGTTGGCGTCGACGTCGAACGTAACCTGCGTTGGCGGGGAGAATTTTCCGTGGAGAAAAAATCGCGACATCCCTTCGTCGCGTCGCGTCGCGTCGCGTCGCGTCGAAGCCTTCGGGCGAGCCTAGCCGTCTGCTTTCGATTTCTTTCGTTCTCCTGCGGTTCCGTTCGCCGACCAGCATCCGGATGCTTATCCGAACGGTCTGACAATCCCAATAGAGAGCCCCTTCCGATTCGTGCGCCGATGGCAACGGGCAGAAAAGGAATCTCGAGACACGAGAATCGCTGCCCCCTCTGCCTCCCGCTCTTATCCTTTGGACCGACCAATACATCCTCGCCCGAGGATTCTTTCTTCCTTCTTTCTCCCCCCCCCTCTCTCTCTCTCTCTCTCTCTCTCTTTCTTCTTGCTTTTTTTTTATTACAGGACTCGTGTCTCGGTACAGTCCATTCCGGGCCTATTGCCTCGCAGGATTGTTTTCTTATCTCCGACGTCGATCGTCGGAAACGTTTATTAGCGGTTTCAGCCCCGGAGGCTCCCTCTTTTAATTACTGATCGGCGATCGTTAAAGCGGTCAACCACGGCGAAGGAAGCCGCCGCCGCCACGGCGCGGATCCTGCGAAGGAAGCGATCGTCTCTCCTCGAGCACAACAAGACGGCGCGACGGCGAATACGAAAGATGCGCGAAAGTGCGCGATTTGCGCGTTACTTTTGTTTGTGCGTATTATTTCTCTGGCGCGCTTAAAATGCAGAGCTCCGTCGCCGCCGCCGCCGCCGCCGCTGCCGTTGTCTCGATACTCCGCGGTATAACACAACCCTTCGAGTTAGCGCGTTCGGAGAGAAATTAATCGCGCTGCAATATTCAATACTCCAACTTGGCAGAAGTGAGTGGTAAAGTTTGTTCGTGAGGATTTTACATAATGTTTCTTAGGGCAAGGTTACGATAATACAATTCGACGCTCGGCCCCTCGGCGAGAGTTGGCGATTCTGCATAAACTGCTTCGGAACAATATCTTCGAGATATATACTTGCTTCCTCGTGACTCGATTCAAACGCGCGATTATCGCGAGAGACCGAAATAAAAGTCGTCGCGAGCGCGTCGGAGAGCGGAGAGCGCGCCGCCTTCGTGGAAACGCTCAAATCGATATAGAACTGGAATGCGTCCTCCCGCGCCTTTCTTCCTTTCTTCAGCGCTCGTCGGGAGGCGCGCATCCCTAAAACCGTTGCTTTCTGCGATATTGTGCGAAACCTACTTCGATTTGAGGTATGCCGCGCGCTGCCGGCGGAATGCCGCACAGCTCGAACTTCCCCAAAAGGTTGTTGTCTCTGGTCATCGCCCTCTCGCCCTCGTAAACTTGTACGAGCACGCTCGGCTGATTGTCCGAGTACGTAGTGAACGTCTGCATCTGCTTCGTGGGGATCGTCGTGTTGCGCTTGATGAGAGCCGTCATCACACCGCCGGCCGTCTCGATGCCAAGCGACAGCGGCGCTACGTCGAGCAGCAGCAAATCCTGCACCGCCTCGGACTTGTCGCCGTGCAAAATGGCAGCCTGCACCGCGGCCCCGTAAGCCACCGCTTCGTCCGGGTTTATGGACTTGTTCAGCTCCTTGTCGTTGAAGAAATCCTGCAAAGCGAGAGAGGCGCGCCTTCGCGCTTAAAAGGAGATGGAAGAGAGCGACGGGGAAGGAGTCCATCGAAAATTGAGCGTTATCGATTATCGCCCCGGCGATATCACCCCGGCAAGAGGAAAATACACTCGACGGATGATTCGCGCGGTGTGTGGTTTACCACGAGAATGAACAACACAGGGAGGAAGGGGGGTGTCTGTTGATTTTGTTATCCAGCTCATTAATGCTGTAACGAACACCTGCGAACAACCCTCGTGTTTTCTCTACGCGCTCCGCTCTACGCGACTTTTCCTCCACGTCCTCCGTGGAGCGAGGGAATATAACGGCGCGCATGGAAATTCGCGTCGCGAATTTTAGCGCGCGTTTTTATCGCCCGACCTGCAACGCGCATCGGCCGACGGATAGGAATTCGCGCCGTTCAGCGCGGCGTGTCTTTGCAGCTGGCGAGCAGTCGCCGAGAAAGTTAGTCGATACCTGCAGCAGCTTCTGTACGCGCGGTATTCTCGTTGACCCGCCGACGAGAACTATATCGTGGACCTTCGACTTGTCCATTTTAGCGTCGAGCAACGCCTTCCCCACCGGCTCCAATGTGCTCTTGAAGAGGTCCTGGTTCAGCTCCTCGAAGCGAGCGCGTGTGATCGAGGTGTAGAAATCGACGCCGTCGAGCAGAGCGTCGATCTCGAGGTTGGCCTGCGTGGACGAGGACAGGGTCCTCTTGGCGCGCTCGCAGGCGGTTCTCAGGCGACGAAGGGAGCGCTTGTTCCTCGTCAGGTCCTTCTTGTACTTTCTCGCAAATTCCCGCGCGAAGTACGTGACCAGACGATTGTCGAAGTCCTCTCCGCCGAGATGGGTGTCACCGGCCGTCGCTTTCACCTATCGTTTATCGAGATAGCGGTGAAAAATATCACCGATCGAATCATATCGCTCGACGCTGACGATTACCGCGAGACTCGCCAGGAGGAGACGCGAGATCTGACGAGAGATCGCAATTACGAAGATGAAATAATGTCAACGTATAGAAATCACTTTCTCCGACGTGTGTGTGTGTGTGTGTGTGTGTGTGTGTGTCTGTCCGACTCGGCGGAGGATTCTGCTGCGTTCCGGCGAAGACGCGCGTCCGTCTGCTGCGGCGTCCGCTGCAAGCTGCGACGGTTTACCTCAAATATACCATCGTCGATAGTCAGTATCGATACGTCGAAAGTACCGCCGCCGAGATCGAAGATCAGTACGCTCCTTTCACCGCGGCCCTTCTTGTCGAGCCCGTAAGCGATGGCGGCTGCGGTCGGCTCGTTAATGATCCTCAGGACGTTCAGGCCGGCGATGGCGCCCGCGTCCTTGGTAGCCTGACGTTGAGAGTCGTTGAAGTACGCCGGCACCGTGATCACGGCGTCCGTGACGGTCGCGCCCAAGTAAGCCTCCGCCGTTTCCTTCATCTTCGTCAGCACCATCGAGGAGATCTCCTCGGGAAAGAAAGATTTCGCCTCCCCCTTGTAATAATACGCAACGAGTAATTAATGGAGCGCTACGGGGATGAAAAACATTTATCCGGATGAAACTTATGAAGAAAGGAACGTGCTTAGTCAGTATGACCGGCCCGCTTCTCTCCGCGCCGGCTATTTTCTTTTCTCTTTCATTAAGCGTATCTCTCTCTCTCTCTCTCTCTCTCTCTCTCCCCCCTCTCTTTCTCTCTCTCTCTCTCTCTCTCTCTCTCTCGGCGGAGCGGCCTCCCGGCGCCATTTATTTACGTAATTAATGCGCTCACTTTATATCGCAGTCGGATTTTCGGCTTGCCATTGTCGTCGACGACCGCGAAGGGCCAGTGCTTCATGTCGGACTGCACCGACGGATCGTCGAACCGTCTGCCGATCAATCTCTTGGCGTCTGCAAAACGATCCCGTTTCAGAGCTCGCGCACTCTCGCCGGCATCTGCCGGCGCTTCTAAAGAGTACGATTTATAGCGCGATCAATCGTAACACACAGCGGCGTTTCCATATCTGAGGGGTATCCAGATATCGGAACAAAAGCGGTTCCTCTCGGGGAAAGAAGTATATTTAAAAGCCGTTTAAAGAGAGGTGGGATATTATGTAGTGTTGATCTGTTAAATTGGCGTAAAAAATCGCACTTTCTGCCCGCGCGGCCGAAGCAGAAAAGCTCTGTCACGGCGACTGTGTGCTCTCACTTGAAAATATGGCGCTTTATCGCGCCGAGCTGGCCGATGAGATCCCCGCGTGGAGATGTAGCCGTCTAATTAGAGGCGAACGCGAGTCCAGCCGAGACGAGCGTGGGGAAAGGAAGCGATTACGGCTATTGTCAACGTCATAAACACGGTCTGTTACGGCGGTCTGGTGTACGGATGTATCCTCTAGATACGTGTACGAGCGGCCGAGAGTCGATTTGGCGGTGGCGGTGGCGAAACGAGCGCATTACCGACCTCCTCACCGAGAGAGAGAGAGCGAGAGAGAGAAAGAGAGGGAGAGAGGGGGGGAGAGAGAGAGAGAGAGAGAGAGAGAGAGAGAGAGAGAGAGAGAGAGAGAGAGAGAGAGAGAGAGAGAGAGAGCTCGTCTCTTCTCTCGTCGAGCTCTGAGAACGAAATCACCGCAGCTGCGGGCAGAAGCCTGCTTCCGCAGGAGACGAGGCGGCTACGTGAACCTACGAGGGCTACGAGCGCGCGTTCGCATTCGAGGAAACGCCGGCGAATCTCGCACCCGCGATCTCGGCTCACCTGCGAACATTTTAACGCGCGAGACTCACCGAAAATCGTATTCGTCGGATTCATCGCCACCTGGTTCTTCGCCGCGTCGCCGATTAACCGTTCGGCCTCCGTGAACGCGACGTAACTCGGCGTGGTGCGATTGCCCTGGTCGTTGGCGATGATCTCCACCTTGCCATGACGGAAGACCCCGACGCAGGAGTACGTTGTGCCCAGATCGATGCCGATCGCCGGAGACGTCATCGCGGGCTCATTGAGGCTCACGGGAGACGCGACATGCAAGCCCGAGCGATGAGTCGCGGTTCTGTTGTTTGTTGCACGCCGTCGCGCGATATATCGATAGTTGTTGCGCGTTCTCTTATGACTGTTGACTTTAAGCGAGTGTGCGTTTCCGAAGAAAAAGTGACACACATCGGACACAGCTTGACGTCTCGTATGCGCGTCGATAAATGAAAATAGAATGTCCATTAGATGGGTAATTAAAATTGAACTTCTATCGTGTCCGTAATGAAAATTCGAAATTTCCACTACATACATAATGAAAATTGAATTTCCGTTATGTATATATCCCATTATGTATATAAAAACAGAATTTCCATTATGTAACGCAAATTGAAGTTTTATCATGTCCGTAATGAAAATTCGCGATTTCCTTTATGTACATTAATGAAAATTGAATCTTTCGCCCCGCGTTCGCGCAGTTTTACTGAGCGCCGATGAATTAATCACCAGAGCTCATAATATTATATCGCGTGGCGCGAGACGACGCGGTGTCTCTTGATTTTCTCGGTATTGTATTGATACTGTTTGCAAAGTTTGCAGTAACAAAGCATGTATAAATGTCCGAAGGCGGATGCTCGCAGTGTAAAAGCATTTTTCATTTTTCAAGAGTACTTCAACGTTTGGGTTAGGTTTGGGGTTGTATCGTAAATGTGCATATATAAATCAATAAAAGTCGGCATAAATATCTCAAACATTGGCAAATATAATTTTTTTACTCATGCAATCATCTAGCATTTACGACATATATATATTTATATATTTCTATATATATATTTATATATATGGTATATTTCTGTAACACACACAGCTCGCGATATTTTCGTCCAAAATATTCGGATATTCGATGCCGCCTATCGGCATTGTCAGCCACTGCGCGCTATCGCGTTCGGCGACACGCGCGTTGATTGCTAACAACATTTTAATTATTATACATTCGATTAACAATTAATACAACAGGCGCGGAAGGATGATTAAAGTGTTGATTACCGGGGCCGATGGCCTCAATTACACGGTTCTTTGTGACGCAGACACTGGAACACGCCGGCAAAAACACGCCGGGCATGCGAAGTAAATGTAATTTTAACCAGCTCAAAATCCTGCCCCGCATGACAATTTTGGAAACGGCCGGGAAGATTTCTTGTGAATCATACGTAAATTCGACACGTGACACGTTGACTCCCTCGCTATCGCGTAATCTGAGGGGGACCGAGCGTTCGTGACCAGCGTCGTGAGTCGAATAACGAACGAAGGGTGGTAGTAGTCGCGCAGCCTATCCCTTTTATGACGTCATAATAAAGTTCCGATATCGCGGCGAACGGTGTTCTTCTGCGGTGCTCTCATAACGAGGCAGCTCGTGAGCTCACCGCCGACTGTTGTAATCTTACTCGCGCGAGCTGATACAAAATCAAATTAATACCGAGATGGATCATATACAGGGTGTTCGAAAAAAAAAAAAAAAGAAAAAAACTCCTCGTTTATTCACCGCGCGTGATCGATGGAGGCACACGAATAACCTGCCTTAGCAAAATCGAGAAACTCTGGAAAGGTTGATTTTGCGTAAAAAAATGCCCATGTTTACAAGGCACTTTTTACTCGGTGTGCAATGAGTACTTTCTGTATCCTGTAAGTCTGCAATCCTTTTCTTGAGCACGCTGTATAATAATAAAAACCGACGTGCGCTGCGATTATCATGCGAACAATCAAACCGTTTAATATCCCCGAGATAGACAGACGGACTTTCCTTAAAATATTCGCAGAACGGTCTTCTTATCCGGCGAATACGATGGTGAATTTTGAGGAATTAGCTTGTACCGCGACGTTACGTCACACGGTGGGTCGGCTTTCGGATTTTGATTAGATCAAAGTTACGGGGCAATCAAGCCCGGCGCGATCGAAGAACGCTATATACACAAGATTACGAAAATTTAGCGGCTCCCGAACCCTCTTTTTATAAAGGCATTAAGAACCACTTAAACACAGATGGTACTATACCGCGCGATCAAGATGGAAGGGTCGGCGCGCGGCTTTACGTCTTCGTTACTTCGGCTTCTTACCTTGAACGCCAAGTCGGGGAGCGTAGCCGATCGATTACCGCTTAACCGAGTTAATTCGGGAACGTGTATCGTGCTTACATTCCGGCTACGGGTACACGTACGCGTATGCCAAGAGGTCCGCCCCAAACTAGTCCGTCGCCGGCAAGGAGGGGGTTTTAACGAGACGCCGCCAGGACGATAAATCCAGCTACGTGGAAAACAATGAATGGCTCCGCAGAGAGAGAGAGAGAGAGAGAGAGAGAGAGAGAGAGAGAGAGAGAGAGAGAGAAAGAGAGAGAGCGAGAGAGCGGAAGAGAGAGAGAGAGAGAGAGAGCGAGAGAGCGGAAGAGAGTACGCATGTGTGTGTGTGTGTGTGTGTGTCCTACGCTCTTAATAATTCGCTTACTTCGCTGCGACGTCAGCATGCGGGATGAAACGACGCGAGAGATAAGGAGATAAGAAGAGCGAGGGAGAAGTGCGAGAGGGAGATTAGAGAGAGAGAGAGAGAGAGAGAGAGAGAGGGGGGGGTGGGAGAGGGGGGGGGCAGAGAGAGAGAGAGAGAGAGAGGCGGGGAAAGTATCCGATAAGTTTCGTCTCCCGCGTCGCGAGATAGACGCGCGAGGTACAAGTCGGGAGTGACGAAGAGAGTCGAAGCAAATATCGAGATTGGATCGAGGGGGCCCAGTCCTCGTAAATATGTCGTCAGGCCGGTAAACAAGGGCGCGTGAAGCCGGTACAAGCCGCACTTCCGCGCTCGTCGCGCGCGCACACATGCACGCCGTGGGTGGAAGCGGAAGCGGTCGGCGGTCGGCGGTCGTGGTCGTGGCCGCGCACCGACCGGGATTTAAGTCCGGGAAATTTATCGTTCCGCGAGGAGGCGGACAGAAGCGACGAAAGGGATGACACGGGGTTGCGCGTGTTGGCGAAAGGGGGCGGAAGAGAACGCGCGCGCGCGAGAGGAATAGAGGGAGGACAGGAAGAAAGGGGGAGAGACAGAGGGGGCGGGAGCGATGTAGGGGATAACGGTGGGCCAGGAAGAGGAATATAGACGGAAGCGAGGAGCGAGAAGCTCGATCCGGCGGACGATCCGAAAGCAGTTGTCTCGAAATCTTGTTCCAGCCGCGATTCCTGGCCGCGATTCAACCGGCGGCTGGTCTCCGCCGCTTCTCCGAGCTCGCGCGGCTCGCGCGGATTTCTTCCGCGCGCCGTATTAATATTAGAATGTAGCAGACGTGAAATAATCTCTCGGGGAAGATCGTCCGACGGCGCGCGCTCGAGCGTGACTCACCGTGTCAAAGGTCAAGCAACCGTAGGACGTGGGTGTGTGTGCCTCGAAATCGACTGGGGTCTTCGGCGTCGAAGAGTGCTCACAAATGACGTCTCGTCGCGCGCGAAATAACTGTAATAACGGCAGATTAATCGCGTCGCGAGATGCTGAGAGCGACGAGTGTGAGCACCCGCGGGGTGTCGTGCGCGCATTCGCCGATCGATTCCCGACGAAAAGAGTATATAAGCGCACACGGCGCTGTTTGAAAAAGACTTGTCGACATTTGAAGAATTTCATATCCGTATTGGAAGTAGTTTTATGGGGGGCGCCTTGTGCGCAAGAGAAATCTGTCGCTTTTACCTCGCGGTACGTCCGCAACTTTTACATGTGCGAATGATAGAAATTCACGTCAGACGAGTCCAACGGGAGAAGAAGAAATCGCTCATCGGCGAGATGCTCGAAGCGAAGCGATGGGACTTGCCGAGATAATGAAAGAACCGAATTACTCCCCCGATCTGTCCGATCGTTAATTAATCGGTGTGAACGGGAGACGGGAGAGAAGGAACGTGCTGCGCACGTCCCGGCGGTTTTTCAAAAAAATAGATCGATCGGATATGGCCGGACACTGCGAGGAGCTTAGCAAATCGCGCGCACACACGCTGCGAGCAATATGGTGGTCGCGCAGCATCGAAGCGATATAAATCCTGAAACGCTTACAGTTATTGCAGATCCAACGTAATATCCACTCGAACATTGCCCAGGCGGTTTACGCGGTAATTCGCCGATGACAATGTCGCGATAAAATGAAATCGGTCTACGGCTTTTATAACGGGTTTTAGGCGCGCGACGCCGCGCCGATAGTCGTGACCGTTAATATTTTCACCATTCCCGGAAAGTAAGGAAAATCGAGCGGATGATAGCCCGCGGGGGGGGGAGGGGGGAGGGGAGAGTCAGGATACGTATTATATGATATGACACGCATAGCGTGATTTTCCCGAATACAAAATCGACGAATACGCGAATCACCGACGCTGCTCCATTCCATTTTCAGCGCAGCGTATCCTCCGAGGAAATGTAACTCGGCCCTGAAATAAGCCGAGTTGACGTAACACCTCGCCGCTATATCGTGCGTTCGAATCAAGTGTCGGCCTTTAAAACGACACATACGACGGCGCACCTAATACGATATTCATGAAATCCGATGTGGTCCTCAATGAGATGGCTCATGTTTTGAAATATGAACGAAAGCGATGTGGGTGGGAGAACGGGAAAGGAAGAGAGAGAGAGAGAGAGAGCAGCGAATTTACGCCTCACACTTTCCCATAGGTAACTTTTCCCCTGTTCCTTTTTTTCTTTCCTTTAGTTCTCGCATCTCGCGAGGAACTCGGATTTATCTGGATATTACAACGTCTTAAGTTATATTTTTACGGTGAAATTACCTCCGTATGCCGCAGTAAGACACACACACACACACACACACATACATTCACACCTACACTCCCCGCACCGCGCCCTTTAAAACTTTTCATCTGATATTCATGACCGGGCAACTTTTTACGTCTTTATTCCGAATAAATGTACGGCGCGCTAACGATTAAAGTTCTTTTTTCAATGAGACGATCGGTGGATAAATCCCGAGCCGTCGAGACGGATTCACTACGCGCTTTAAATAAATTCATACGCAGCTCCGACTCTCAGCTTTTTAGGCTTGCTCTCAGCTTTTTAGGCTTGCTCGTTCTCTCGTTTTTATCGCTCTCGTCGCTTCGCATACGATAAAAGGCCTCTCTCTCTCTTTCTCTCTCTCTCTCTCTCTCTCTCTCTCTCTCTTTCTTTCTCTCTCTTTCTCTCTCGCGCCACAATGCGACTTGAG